GGCATTTCCTGAAGGCGTCTCCCATTGTACCAGGATGTGACATCTTGTTCCTCTAAACTGGCATCAGCTACAGTTCGAAAGTAGGAATCACAAACAGAGAAGGTCAGCCCATTGTACGAAGATTTGAAAGTTTCCTCCAAAAGAAGCTTCTCATCTTCGCCAATCTCATCAAGATTTGCGGTGACATCCACAAAGACAGTTGTGGTAAAGGTCTTTAGCTCTCCCGAACAATCCACATCTTGTCCCTCTTGGATCTTCCCAACACCTGTGACTGTCTCCAGGCTACCACCCTCCTGCAGCTGGACAATCAAGTCATTGAAGTAGTCAAGGAAGTCGTCCTTCGAGAATTCATCAATGCGGTTCCCCTCACTAGGGCAGATACAGGAAGAAGAGTTGCTTATTAGACTCCGCTGCAGTGCCTCGAAGGGGAGTCTATCCTGCTTGTTGTCGTGCATGAGGAATCTCCGTCTGAAGGCATCATCAAACAGGTTGAAGCTTCCAACATCGCTGACTGGACAACCTCGGCAACGACCAGTCACGGCAAAGACAGACCCTGCTGTTGCCCCTCCTACTGCAGTCTCATTGAGATCATTGTTGACAGCCTGATGCTGTGTATTGTTGGTGGCATTAATAGCATTGTCATCGGAAACCCACTGTTGTTGAAGCTGCCGCCGAACAAGGGCTGTGTCAATGTTCACTTCTAGCCTTGCCTCCTGCACATTTCTGAAGTATGGGTCACAGGACCAAAAGGAGAGTTGGTTAAAGAGATCCATTAAACTCTGTTCCAACAGGATTTGATCTTTCTCGGAAACTGACTGGAAGTCACCGCTGCGGTTCACCTGGAAGTCAACATAACCTCGGCAGGTAAACTGCCTGAGTTCTCAACCCCTTTAATGCTATTTCCTATTCCGGTGAAGCCAAAGTATAAGGATAGAGATAGTCATAAGCCAACAAAACTGAACATTGATAAAGTTAGGGTAGGAATTAATATTTAAGGTTAGTGCAATCAGCACAACAGCACAATAAGCCAGCAGGAGCTGTAAAGGTTAGAGTTACAATAAGGGAATGGCAGCTGGTAAATTATAGTGTATTGGGCGGCAACACACGACATAGTCGGGTGTTGTCGCCAGGGATAGCTTTTAATAAAAAGAAGGTTGCAATGAGGGAGGGAATGAATGATACCGGGCGGCAACACACGACGTAATCGGGTGTTGTCGCCAGGGCTAGCTTGAAAGATGGATGCAATCTCGAACATGATCCTCCTTCTTCTATCTGTCTTTCTGCCGAGGTATCGCAGCTCCCGCTGACTTAAATATAGGAAGTGAACTCTGAGTCATCAGCACTGCATTCTACCTGCTGCCCTTCCATTACTTTGTCCACTGTGACATTGACAGCTTCCAAAAAGACGTCCAGTTTCCCCTTCTCCACTTGATCGTTGAAGACAACCTGGAAGTCTGCCGCAGTCACAGGTCCCCCTTCCCCAGGAAAGACACCAGCTGGGCAAGCACATGCATCGCCACCATCTTGAAGGAAACGACCTGGCTCCAGCATCAAATCTTTTCTTGTATCTTGTTGCCATTGGAAGCTCCTTGAAGTTGTTCATCATAAAGTGCAAATTGACGTATTCTAGCAACCTTGGTGCATTAGGTCTCTCTGCCTATTTGTTTTCATTATCTCTGAGTGAAATATCTGTGAATTGGCCTTTTCTCCGGTTTCCTGCTTCCAGTGTATTGATTCTTTGCTAGTGGTGTTTGCATTATCGAGGCTGGAAATTGGCTCATTATAAAGGGAGAGGAGGAATTGAATGGCATTCTTGAAGGCTGTCGTCCATCAACCAGGATGCGACATCTTTGTTCCTCCAGGCTTAGTACACCGACAACATACGCGAAGTATATAATCTTACACAGAGAAGGCCGAGCCATTGTAGCTAGTTCCGGAAGGTCCTCCTAACAGAAGTTTCTCTTGTGCCCCGATCTTTCCAGATTGACACTGATATAACAAAGACAGTTGTGGTGAAGGTCTTTATCTCTCCACACAATCCACATCTTGCCCTCTTGAAGCTTCTTGACACCAGTGACTGCCTGCAGCACTCCATCCTCCTGCAATTGGACAACATCAGTGTTGAAATAGTCCAAGAAATCTGCTGAGAACTCATTTCAAATTGTTCATCCATCAGCAGGCAAACACATGATATAAGTGTGTACCCTGCAAGTTCGCTGCAGTGCTGCCGAGATTGATTCTGTGTCTGTACTGCTCAAGATCAACGAGGACTGTGACGACGAAAATGTGCATTCAAACAGCTCCAATAGCTTGCCATACATCGCTGACAGGGACAACCACGACAGCGACCAGTGACTTCAAAGACAGCTCCAGTTGTGGCTCTGGCAACTATTTCTGGTGTTGTTTCGTTGAGTTGTGGGCGTTGTTGTGTTTCTGTTTGGATTTGGGTAACGTTGGTGCCATTCTTAGAGGTCGTGTTGGCAAAAAAAATATCGAGATTCCTCTGTTTTTGGAGCTGCCGTCGAACAAGGGCGGCATCTGTATTAAGTTCCAGTTTTGCTGCCAACACATTGCGAAAAAATGGATCGCAGGACTGGAAGGAAAGCTGGTTGTACAGACTTGTGAAACTCTGCGCCAAAACATTCCGATCTTGTTCAGGAATAGTTTGGAAATTACTGCTGCGATTCATCGTAAAGTCCAAAAAGACATAAGAAGTGAACTCCCGCACATCCGAGGCACATGGCACATCTTTTAGTTCCTTGTAATCCTCCTCTTGTGGTGGAAGCTCGATCTTAGCCAGTTCTGATAGGAATGCTGCCGTGAATTCCTCCAATGTGGGAGCACGGAACACTGTAGTATCATCGGGTCTGGGACAGAGACATCCATCATCTGTCAATCCCAAACCTTGTCGGACAACCACATTGGATGCTTCCGTTCGAACTGTTGAGGTGCTTGTTGGCGAGAGCACGGAAGAACCATTTGTGGCATCATGAATCACTTGAAAAAGTGGCGTGTCCGGGCCACAATTCCGGCACTCTGCCAGCACGTCAAAGGCCACTGTGGTGGTATTTCCAAAGGGATCAAAAACGGTGGCTGTTTGGGCTTGTGCTCCAGAGACTTTTCTAAAATGAGGCCAGTCACAAAGTGGAAATAGGAGAGCATTGTAGGTTTCCACAAACGACACATTGAGGGCAGCCACCACCGTCATGGTCTCATTGGCAATAGTAATGGTCTTGTTGTTGTGGCTGTCATGATGATTTATCAAATGCCTCCAATCTCCTGGGAGATCAATGCTAATGGAAGTTTCCAGTGACTGGACCAGTGGATCACACACGACTTCGACAACATTAATCAAAGCTTCACTATTCTGCAGATCTCGGTGGCTTCTCTTGGGTGGTGGTGCCCGGATGGATTGAATTCCTTCCAGGAGATCGTTCCACCTAGAATGTTTTGTTTTCTCCGAGACGATATTATCAGTATCATGGTGGCTGTGTGGTTGTTTTGTGAGTATTCGTAACTGTGCCCTCTGTAGCAACGCTTCTTGCATTCTCGGATGATATCCAGTGGCCGTTGGTTTCGCGTCCTGGCCTTGTTGTTGTTGTTGTTGTTGTTGTTGTTGTTGTTGTTGTTGTTGTTCTAGTTGTTGTGGCAGTGGTTGTTCTCCCTGACCTCGGAGTCGCCTTTCGGGTGGCAAAACTCCCGCAATATTGTATTGATTGTCGTGCTTTTCCTCCATGCCGGTACTGGTACAGCTGGGACCTTGGCAGAGACCATGAATGGTGTAGGTGATTTCCACCTCGACCTGTATGACCTCAGGGTTATTGTTCTTTCGGGGAAATATCTTAAGAAGATGAAAGCCTTGGGATTCCGCATGGACAGAGGTTATTTGTGTCATTTGTGCCGGCTCTGAGTCGTCTGTCGTCTCTACATGTGGTGGTGGTGGTGGTCGGTTAAGGGTATCCAAGAGGAGGGATTCCAGTTGGGCGATATCTTCTGCTGGAATCCACTCCTCCATCGTTTTCGCGTTGAATGGAAGCCCTTGCTCGTAGACTTCTGCAGAAAGGTCCAGTCGGTGTGTGAATATCAACTGAGTTTGAAACGTTGTTTTGCCACTGCTAGCACTGCCGGAACTACCAGCGACAGTGGAGGTTGCCAACGCCACAAGGAACAGGAATTCTAACGTTGATATCCACATCATCAATGTTGGCAGCAGCATGACTGTCTTCAGTCAGTTGAGGAGTTATACTATAGTATCAGATAGCTTAAAAGGTAGGAGACGCAAAGGTGTTATTACCTTTTTTGTTTTTCGATGTGGGAGGGATGCGTGCCATAGAAAATACCAGGCGGAACGATCGATCGAGGTTGCTCGCATGCTGCTGCCGCGAAAGCCCACGACTATTATTGTCCAGTCGAAAAAAGGACCCCAGCTTGTGCACGAGCCAAACAGAAAGGGGTTTGGTCATTTTGCATACTGAGTACTTTCTTTCTACAAAACCTTTCTGGCGCTTTTTGTTTAACAGCAACCTAATAGTTTGGGAATTCTATAGAGCCATCTAACCATCTAACCACTATGAGGAGAAACAATAATTATTGCCAGCCACGGAAGCACAAGACTGAGTTACATAAAGACATTCGGTGCTCAATTTAAAGTCCAGTCTCTATTATAGTCTCTACCGTAGGACGTATTAATAGCGATTCCAGCGAAGCACCAACTTACTTGAAGCTGCAGAAGCACAGTCGAGTCGCGAAGACTCCAAGCTGGATCTTCTAGCTAGCTAGCAGTAGCAAGCTATGGCCAAAGATTTTAATAAAATTAAAAAAATACCCTGCCATGCAGTGTGGTTTGGTTGATCCCGTACGTACCGGTACCGCCCATCTCTTTGACGGAGCGAACATGATGCCTCTTCTTCCACAACGAGTGACGCTTCCAGGTAGGATCAACGCTAGCTAGCTATAGCTGTAGCCCTCGTTCATGGCTACTATCAATACACTCGTCTTGTTCTAGCGTTGATAATAGCTTCTTCGGTTCCAGCCACCAATGACTTCTTCACTATAGCGGCTACCGGTACCGGTACCAGTACTACAAGGCCATTGCACCGTCCGAGCAGCTCGGAGCAGTGGCTTGTCCACGAGGGTTCTTCCCATTTATTCATCATAGTTGCTTTCGATCAGTCCGCTGACCTGACCGACTGGATTCTTCACCTCGGTAGTCTTGCTGCCAGAGCCCTCAACCCCTTTAATTGTTTTTCCTGCTACGGTGGTCCCTGCAGGTATAAGGGTAGGGTTAGAATACAAATAAGTCAGCAAAAACTAAATAAGTATCCTAGGGTGGTGCTTTTAAACCAGCTAAAGCTATTTACATGCATCCTAGTAGGGGGATCTGCTTCTACCAGGAAAAACTATAAAGCTATCAAAAGCTATATAACTAGTATTCTAGCTAGCTTGGGGTATTTGCTTCTAGCTTGCTATGGGAATCTGCTTCTAGCTAGTGGATCTGCTTCTAGCTAGCTAAGCGCAAGTTAAGCACTAGCTAGCTAAGCACTACAGGTATCTGCTTCTAGCTAGCTAGCTAATAGGGGCATCTGCTTCTACACTGAAACCTTTCTGCCGAGGTTACACAGCTCCGCTGGCTTATTTAGCATTAAAAATTTTACGGCAGCCTCCAGTGCAATAGAAGCTGCTGCATGATTGGTGTGTTGCCTTATTGCTTTGCCTCGATCGATCCCCGTACCAGGTAAATCGATTGTTGTTTGACAGTGAACTGGACTGGACTTTGTTACGAGTGTACAGGTTGGAAGCACCCGCTGATTGCACCTGCCTCCTTGGCATACGGTTGCAAGAAGTCGGAGTATACCTATAGCTATTGCGGCTACAACGCTTTCTTTGGCAACATCATCATCGAGGATGGCTTCCAAACCAAAAAAACTGAAGCTTCAGGTCTGTGTGTTTCAAGGTCTAGCTAGCTATTAGCTCAGCTGTATGCCACCGTATGGTGGTTGAGAGGATATAGTTGCCGCCGTTCGGTACGGTACCACGCCTGGGAGATGGTTCAGCAATCACAGGTGGTAGGCTGTAGCGAGCTTGGGAATTGACAGGAAGAGTGACATGGCGTCGCCGTCATTGTTGTCCGTCATTGTTGTGCTTGTCGGTGATTGTTGGCTTTCCACGGTCGGTACTAGTAGCTTTGCCAGGGGAAGTGATGTTGCTGACAGTCTGGCATGAGCTTGCCAGGATCCCCCCCTTGTTGCATGGTGTGCCATCGTCAGAGGGGCGATGGACACTCTTTTCTGGATGCAGTAGTTGGCATACAGTACATATAGATGGCAAGGGAGTACGATGGCTCGTTGTTGTAAGCATCATTGGCAACAGTGTCGTGTTTTCCACGTGCATTGTGGTCACTCGCTGGAGTACTAGCAGTGCGGACGCGGTCAGGATTGTCGTCTGTGACTGCGACGAGCGTCATTGAGGGGACAATAGTACTTAGCATCGTCATAGGTCTGGTCAAAATTGCTGATTTGTTCGTTTGCGACGATCTTGGTGCCACAGTGGGTGTCGCTTAAATTGTGACGAGCGTTGCAGGAATTGTAGCAGTCATACCGTAGCGTGGACGGGGCCAAAACTGCTGTAGTTGTCGGGTATGAGCTGGCTAGCTAGAATCGAATCATCTCCCCTTGTTCATATGGCGGCTTGAAAGGTGTTGCGTTGGCAGACTCCATATATAGAGGGGGGCATGGCGAGCGAGAGTCGAGGATATGACTGGCTCGTGAACAGTTGTTGGTGGCGAGCACAAGTGGTTTGGAGGTGTGGGCATCCGTGTCACCGTGGGCTCACGGCCGTGCGCTGTTGCGACGGTTTTAGTGACGGTTGTCGGTTTTCCACTTCCTTGTGCATGGCTGATTTTGCACGAGTAGTAGCAACATGGATATTGTTGTTATCGATGTTGGTTTCCAGACCCGATGAAATTGGTGGATGAAGTTGGTGTAGAGACAGCGCATTTTCGAGCGTTCCAACTGGAGTACCGGAGTGTGGACTTGACGTCCGTCAAGTGTGACCAAAATGCGCTTGTTGTCGTTTTCCACAGGTGGCTCATGCATTGTCGTGATTCTCCAGCGGGAACATGGACTTGTCGTCATGTTGGATGATGGATTTGTCGGCCATTGAAGAAGTCTCAAATGGTTGGTTTCATTTCCGGCGTGGGCTTTCTTGCTTCAGCATTGGCTGACTGTTCTCTAGCTATAACAGGGGGATCTACTTGTCCAGCACCTCATTATGATCACTCCCAACAATTCGCTCATTGATAGCTATCGATAGGGCTGCTGCAAGAGATACCCCCACTTCGTAAGATGAGTACAGTATTTAAGTTATCAAGCTTGGCTATCGTGACAAGATCAACCAGCACCCCCTTGTAAAGGTTAGCAATAAACCGGATTTGGACTTCACGTGGAAGCCTTATAGCTAGCTAGCTAGTTCGCCTTCAACGGGAAATGTGGACTAAAACAATTGAAGCCGTAACGAGTTGGTTTGAGGCACACCCCAGGCCTGTAGGGGACGACCGAGCCGGGACTATAGTGCTGTTACTTAACTTGGTTCTTGGCTTCATTTCATTTCATGGATACAGCCAAACAATATCAAGTCATTTGGCATGAGCCAGCTCTGATGTACTATAATGGAAGCAGTGCAGCAGGACAAAGCAATGAAGGCAGCAGCATTTGCGAACCAGATAGCAGCTCACCGTCAAACAACGCTGAACAATGACTTTACGTGTATCCTTACTTTTTGAGCGACCACTCAGCAGTGCCTTTCGAATCTTAAAATTTTTGGTTCGACTATGACCCCCCTTTCCCAAATCTCTCAAGAAATGCAGGGATTGCCAGAATTAGCCACTGTAGCTTCGTTGAGACCAAAAGTTAAATTCGGATGCAGAAATAGGGTGGATACCCACCAGTTCCAGGATTAACATTGGCTTCAGTTGCACAATTAGGATCAACCCTAGTGCAACAAGTTGTTGGAATACTGGCCGTGCTCTCCAGGCCAGTCCAATAACCAATGCCATAACAAGTCCCTGGATAAGCTGCTTCGCAATCGTTAAGGCAATCGGTAAAAGTCAGCCATCTCCCCACCTCACATGCACCGCTACCGCTATCCACTAAATCAGTGTTGAGACAGCTCTCATATTTTACGCAACTCCAATCGGGAAGAAATGGAAATGAGGAAGGTACTGAAGATGGTGTTTGGCTAGGGCTGCTGGATGGGCTTCGGCTTGGGATCCTGCTTGGAATTTCTGAAGGGGTGCGCGATGGAGCCATGCTCGACGGGCTAATGCTAGGCTGAGAAGATGGGCTTCTGCTTGGAATTGTAGAAGGTACAAGTGACGGCGCCATGCTGGGGTTTGAGGATGGGCTGCTGCTTGGAATTATTGAAGGAATGTCCGATGGAGCCCTGCTGGGGTTTGAGGATGGTGCACCCGAAGGACTAATGCTTGGGAGTGTTGATGGACTTCGGCTTGGACTTTTGGAGGGTACATGCGACGGCATCATGCTGGGGTTTGAGGATGGGTGTTTGCTTGGGATTATTGAAGGAAGGTTCGATGGAGCCCTGCTGGGGTTTGATGATGGTGCCCTGAAGGACTAATACTTGGGAGTGTTGATGGGCTTATGCTTGGACTTGTAGAGGCACGTCTGATGGAGCCATGCTGGGGTCTGAGATGGAACATCCGAGGGGCTGATCTAGGGAGTGTAGATGGACTACTCTTGGATTGTAGAAGGCACGTTTGATGGAGCTATGCTGGGGTTTGACGATGGTGCATCTGAAGGACTGTTGCTTGGAAGTGTTGATGGGCTGCTGCTTGGAATTGTAGAAGGCACATTAGATGGAGCCATGCTGGGGTTGACGATGGAACATCCGATGGGCTGATGCTAGGGAGTGTAGATGGCATACTGCTTGGACTTGTAGAAGGTGCGTCTGACGGAGCCATGCTGGGGTTTGACGATGGAACATCCGAGGGGTGATGCTAGGGAGGTAGATGGCTACTGCTTGGACTTGTAGAAGGTGCATCAGATGGCGAAGTTGATGGTGAAGCAGAAGGAGATTTCGAAGGAACTCCAGATGGGATTCTGCTTGGACTTGTAGATGGCAGAGCAGATGGAGCCCTGCTGGGAAGCAAGGATGGAACATTCGAAGGGCTGATGCTAGGGGTATCAGATGGGCTACTACTTGGCCTTGTAGAAGGTTCACGTGATGGCATAGTTGATGGGGCAAAAGAAGGAGACATCGAAGGCACATCAGATGGGCTGCTGCTCGTAGAGGGCACCTCAGAGGGAGAAGTTGATGGTGGAGAAGAAGGAGATGTTGAAAGCTTATCTGATGGGCTTCTGCTTGGACTTGTAGAAGGCTCATTAGATGGAGCCATGCTGGGGTTTGACGATGGAACATCTGAGGGGCTGATGCTAGGGAGTGTAGATGGATGACTACTTGGAATTGTAGAAGGCACATCAGATGGTGGAATTGATGGTAAAGACGAAGGAGATTTCGAAGGAACGCCAGATGGGAATCTGCTCGGACTTGTAGATGGCGCAGCAGATGGGGCCCTGCTGGGAAGCAAGGATGGAACATTCGAAGGCTGGTTGGTTGGTTGTACTGTTGGAGCAATAGTTGGAGTGCTTGCGGGTACATTTGTTGGCTGCGTAGTTGGTGGTTTGGTTAGAGCACTTGTTGGCATCTTGGTTGGAGTGTTGGTGGGAACATTAGTTGGTACTCCTGTTGGCATTTTTGTAGGAGACTTCGTTGGGGCACCGGGAGAAACAGTTGGCAATGAAGTGGGTGCATTGGTTGGCTTTTCTGCTGGCTGGGTTGTAGGTACTCCTGTTGGGGCATTGGATGGAGGTGCAGTTGGTGTGCTTGTTGGAGACTTGGTGGGCGAGGCTGTTGGAGATAGGGTTGGTGATCTTGTTGGGCTTGCTGTTGCGGGACTGGCACTAGGCGCCCCAGCAGAAACTGTTGGCAACATAGTTGGCTGCTGTGTGGGCATTTGAGTAGGGGCCGAAGTAGGTGCTTGCTTTGTCGGTTGAGCAGAGGGTGCCTGGGTAGGACTGAAAGTTGGCGCATTGGATGGAGGCGCAGTTGGTGTGCTTGTGGGCAGGCTTGTGGGAGACTTGGTGGGTGAGGCTGTTGGAATTTGGGTTGGAGATCTTGTTGGGTTTGCTGTTGTGGGACTCACACTTGGCGCCCCAGCAGAAACTGTTGGCAGCATAGTTGGCACATTGGTTGGCTGTTGTGTGGGCACTGGAGTTGGGGTTCCAGTAGGAGTTTGTGTTGTTGGTTGAGCAGAGGGTTCTTTGGTAGGGCTGAAAGTCGGTCCAGGTGTTGGCAAAGATGTCACAATTCTAACAGCCTCCAATGAGTTCCTTTGCATTGCTGGATGTGCGTTGAATGCTGATAGAAAGTTAGTTTTTGCAGCATTGATCTGGAACATGAAGTCATTGTTGACTTGAAGTGATTCAACTATGATTGCCACTATGTTGCCACTTGTACCTTGCAACCGCCTCTGGTTCATGCGTCCTTGGACAGCGGCATCTACAACAACAGGGTCGCATGCCTCCTTTTCCAGAGCGGCATCAGCATATGTGAAGGAGTCTTCCATGTCAAGATCTGAGGCTCCTACTGCATCCTGTGCAAAGATCACGTAATAGATTGCCTCCACTGTTGCAAACTGTAGGCTACAAGCTATGCCTGACAGACTGGTTGATGGAGTCACCGATGGTATTGGGGAGGGATTGGAAGAAGAAGGTTCACTTGAAGGGCTTAATGAAGGTGGAAGGGATGGCATTGAGGTTGGCTGTGGAGTGGGTTGAGAAGTTGGCTTCAATGTTGGTTCAGGACTGGGTTCTAAAGTAGGCTCTTCTGTGGGTTCAGGTGTTGCGGATAAGGTAGGATTCTTAGTTGGAAGCAGTGTGGGTAACTTTGTTGGAATCACAGTAGGGTCAAGAGTAGGATTCTTGGTCGAAGGTGACATTGATGGTCCAAAGGTTGGTTGAGGAGTGGGAACATTCGTGGGACTTGTTGTCAAAGGAATCGCGGAAGGCTCTGCTGTTCGTGGGACTGATGTGATGTCTCTCTCCAAATTGTCGGCCATAGGGTCTGTGGCAGAACAATCATAGAAGGCTGAGATGACCAGACCATCCACTCCAGTGCTTGCACTTGATGTTGTGCTGGACACCATTCCAAACTCAAGAGAAAGTGTCCCTGAAGAGAAGAGCGTTGGTGGGACAATAAACTGTACCCTTTGTCTTTCTCCTCTAATTCCCAAGCTAGCTGATTCCGATGCCCAGGAAATGGCAGTTCCATCAACTATACTCAGCGATCCAGTGCTGTTGGCCGGCTGCAAATCTTCAAAATACTTCATTGAACCCATAATGTCCACAAAGAACCTGTCCCCCACAGCCCATGCATCAATCTCATAAAGATTGAGGCTAACTTCCACATAGGTCACAGTAGCCGAATGTTGGCTGGGGTTGTTAAGAGTAGTTGCAACCCTGCTCACTCTCCCGTCATTAGTGCTTAGAGTCCATTCAGTTTCTTCCTGTAAGAGTACTATCTGAGACTCACATGCCTGTGGAGTAGCAGTACTAATAGGGTAGGAAATTTCTTGAGCTTGACTTCCTGGGTTATCAGACTCGGGCAATGATATCACTGTTGTAGTGGGTTGTTCGGTAGGCAAAGGTGTTGGGGGCAGAGTCAAGGAGGTTGTCCTGCCATTCCAGGAAGAAACTTCAATAATAGTAATGATGTCTTCCACTGAAATGGTGGCACCATCATTCTTTGCTTCATTAATCCTTCCCAAGAATTCTTCTAAGAACTCTTGGACACTAACAGCCGGCTCCACCCCAGGTTCCAAACCATGAGGGCAAACACATGTATTTACGTCTTCTGCCATGTTCCTCCTCCACCATGATTGAGTCCAGCTGACTGATGATGCTCGTCGTTGGCTTTGCTGGCCACTGGTGCTGTTAAACAAGTTGAATACACCATTGATCTCAATTGGACAGTTTCTACACCTCCCTCTGATCATGAACAGGGCAAATGTGTTGGGACTAGGCAGAGCCGCTTCGGATTGATTGGTTGCAGTCTGGCTAGCATTTAAGGCAGTGAGAACATCAGTGGTACCATTGACAGCAGATTCATAGCTTGCAATGGTTGAGTTTGAATGAATGCTGCTGTTTGTAGTGTTGTTCCTGAATGAATTGCTGCTCTCCTGAAGCTGGCGTGTCATGGGGCCAACACCTGCGTCTGCAACCAGCTCAACTTCGGCAACAAGTCTAAAGAAGCCATCACAAGCCTTGAATGAAAGACTATTGTATGCTCCCTCAAACGCCTCTTCCAAGAGCTGAACATCTTCTGGCGAGAGTAGAGTTGGGTCAACTCCGATATCAACATAGACTGCTGATCGGAATTCTTGAACACCGGAGCTGCACGTGACTTCCTGTCCTTCTGAAATGTCGGTGGCCGGGACAGCAACAGAGGTGGAGGACAGTACACCCTTTTCTATCAGATCTTCCACCTTTGCAATGAATTTCTCTTCAAACTCCAGTGCTGTTGGTCCTTGGCCAATTCGAGGTTCAGTTCCAATGGGGCAGGTACAGGTATCATTCTTTGCCAGCCGCCTTCTAGTCACCCCATAATCCTGATTTGAGACATCCTCAAAGAGAGATCTTCTAAATGCATCATCAAAGAGATTAAAGCCCCCTGTCGCAGAAACAGGACAGTTCCGGCACGTTCCTGTGATGGAGAACAAGGTTGCACCAATTCGGTTTGACCTTCTGTCATCAACAAATGTTTGGTTGGATGTGCTGTTGGACGTATTGTTCGATGGCTCTTGCAGCCGCCGACCTGGGAATAAGTCTTTGGATGACCCAACATTAAGTTGTACCTCTTCAATTGTGCCTGAGAAGCAAATAAGAATGATTAGGACTCAATAGAAACGATTCCGAGACGCCATGATGAACTGTTTCACTTACGGAAATTTCCATCACATAATTGATAGGCCAAGTTTGCATAGGTCTTCCAAAAGGTCTCCTCCACAGCCAGCACTTCATCTGTTGTGAGAACAGTGAGATTAACTCCAAGATCAGAGAATACCTCTGTGGTGAACTTCTGAGGTCCAGTTCCACATTGCACCTCATGTCCCTCAAGTACGCTGTCAGCAGTAACATTCACTTCTTCCAAGAATACATTGAGCTTTTGCTTCTCCACTTGATCGTTGAAGACAACTCGGAAGTCTTCTGCCGATACAGTTCCACCCTCACCAGGCATAATGCCTGTTGGGCAAACGCAAGTGTCACGGTTGGTTCGAAGAAAACGACGACCTTGCACAGACACGCTAACGGTTGCCTTATGTAACCGTCTTCGAAAGGCGTCATCAAACAAGGTGAAATGACCTGTGTCTGTAACTGGGCAGCCCCTGCATTGGCCAGTGACCGAGAAAACTGTAGTGGCCTCCCGGTTCCTGGCTTGCCATGTAGACTGGTTGCCAGTGGTGTTTGCATTTGAGGCCCAGTCGGAAATTGACTCATTCAATGGAAGGGTGGAATTGAACGGCATTTCCTGAAGGTGTCTACCATTGTACCAGGATGTGACATCTTGTTCCTCTAAACTGGCGTCAGCTACAGTTCGAAAGTAGGAATCACAAACAGAGAAGGTCAGCCCATTGTAGGTAGACTTGAAAGTGTCCTCCAAAAGAAGCTTCTCGTCTTCGCCAATCTCATCAAGATTTGCCGTGACATCAACAAAGACGGTTGTGGTAAAGGTCCTTAGCTCTCCCGAACAATCCACATCTTGTCCCTCTTGGATCTTCTCAACACCTGTGACTGTCTCCAGGTTACCACCTTCCTGCAGCTGGACAATCAAGTCATTGAAGTAGTCAAGGAAGTCATCCTTCGAGAATTCATCAATGCGGCCCCCCTCACTCGGGCAGATACAGGAAGAAGAGTTGCCTATCAGTCTCCGCTGCAGTGCCTCCAAAGGGAGTCTACCCTGCTTGTTGTTGTCATGCATGAGGAATCTCCGTCTGAAGGCATCATCAAACAGGTTGAAGCTTCCAACATCGCTGACTGGACAACCTCGGCAACGACCAGTCATGGCAAAGACAGACCCTGCTGTTGCCCCTCGTACTGCAGTCTCATTGTGATCATTGTTGACAGCCTGATACTGTGTATTGTTGGTGGCATTAATAGATTTGTCATCGGGAACCCACTGTTGTTGAAGCTGCCGCCGAACAAGGGCTGTGTCAATGTTCACTTCTAGCCTTGCCTCCTGCACATTTCTGAAGTATGGGTCACAGGACCAAAAGGAGAGTTGGTTATAGAGATCCATGAAACTCTGTTCCAACATGATGTGATCTTGCTCAGAAAATGACCGGAAGTCACCACTGCGGTTCACCTCGAAGTCAACATAAACATAGGAAGTGAACTCTGAGTCATCAGCACTGCATTCCACCTGCTGCCCTTCCATCACTTTGTCCACTGTGACATTGACAGCTTCCAGAAAAACATCCAGTTTCTCCTTCTTCACTTGATCGTTGAACACAACCTGGAATTCTGCCGCAGTCACAGGTCCGCCTTCCCCAGGCAAGACACCTGCTGGGCAAACGCACGTGCCATCACCACCATCTTGAAGGAAACGACCTGACTCCAGCGACAAATTGCTTTGGGCCTTTTGAAGCTTCCTTCTGAAGGTGTCATCAAAAAGCGCAAATTGACTGTTATCAGCAACTGGGCAGCCCCTGCATTGGCCAGTGACCGAGAAAACTGTAGTGGCCTCCCGGTTCCTGGCTTGCCATGTAGACTGGTTGCTAGTGGTGTTTGCATTTGAGGCCCAGTCGGAAATTGACTCATTAAAAGGGGAGGAGGAATTGAATGGCATTTCTTGAAGGCGTCTCCCATCATACCAGGATGCGACATCTTGTTCCTCCAGGCTTGCACCGACAACAGTACGGAAGTAAGAATCACAAACAGAGAAGGCGAGCCCATTGTAGCTAGTCCGGAAGGTGTCCTCCAACAGAAGTTTCTCTTGTGCCCCGATCTCTTCCAGATTGACACTGATATCAACAAAGACAGTGGTGGTAAAGGTCCTTTTCTCTCCCTCACAATCCACATCTTGTCCCTCTTGGAGCTTCTCAACACCAGTGACTGCCTGCAGCACTCCATCCTCCTGCAATTGGACAACATCAGTGTTGAAATAGTCCAAGAAATCTTGCTTTGAGAAATCATCAATTTGGTTAACATCAGTAGGGCATACACATGACAAAGTGTTGCCCTGCAAATTTCGATGCAGTGCTGCTAAGGCGGGAGCTCCGTGCTGTCTATCAAACCTGAGGGATCTTTGGCGACGAAAGGTGTCATCAAACAGCTCAAAACTTCCAACATCACTGACAGGACAACCGCGACAGCGACCGGTGACTTCAAAGACAGCTCCAGTTGTGGCTCTAGCCACTCCTTCTGGCATTGTATCGTTGAGATTGTGGGTTATTGGAGTCTCTGTGTGGGTCTGGGTAGAGTTTGTTCCATTCATAAAGGTAGTGTTGACAGAGGAAGCATTGAGATTTATCTGTTCTTGGAGCTGCCGTCGAACAAGGACAGCATCTGTATTGAGTTCCAGTTTTGCTGCCAACACATTGCGAAAAAATGGATCACAGGACTGGAAGGAGAGCTGGTTGTACAGACTTGTGAAACTCTGCTCCAAAACATTTCGATCCTGCTCGGGAATAGTTTGGAAATTACTGCTGCGGTTCATCCTAAAGTCCAAAAAGACATAAGAAGTAAACTCCCTCACATCCGAGGCACATGGCACTTCTTTTAGTTCCTTGTAATCCTCCTCTTGTGCCGGAAGATCGATCTTAGCCAGTTCTGATAGAAATGAGGCTATGAATTCGTCCAGTGTGGGAGCACGGAACAGTGTAGTATCATCGGGTCTGGGACAGAGACAGCTATCGTCTGTCAATCCCAACCCTTGTCGGAGGATGAAACTGGATGCTTCTGATCGAACTGATGAGGTGCTTGATGTCGGCATGGGCGCAGGAGAACCATTTGTGGCATCATGAATCACTTGAAAAAGTGGCGTGTCCGGGCCACAATTCCGGCACTCGGCCAGCACGTCAAAGGCCACTGTGGTGGTATTTCCAAAGGGATCAAAAACGGTGGCTGTTTGGGCTTGTGCTCCAGAGACTTTTCTAAAATGAGGCCAGTCACAAAGGGGAAATACGAGAGCATTGTAGGTTTCCACAAACGACACATTGAGGGCATCCACCACCGTCATGGTCTCATTGGCAATGGTAATGGTCCTGTTGTTGTGGCTGTCATGATGATTGATCAAATGTCTCCAATCTCCTGGGAGATCAATGCTAATGGAAATTTCCAGTGACTGCACCAGTGGATCACAAAACACTTCGACAACGTCAATCAAAGCCTCAGTATTCTGCAGATCTCGGTGTCTGCCCTTGGGTGGTGGTGACCGGACGGATTGAATGCCTTGTAGGAGATCCTCCCACATGAAACTCTTTGTTTGGTTGGAGACATAATTATTGGTATCGTGATGGCTGTGCGGTTGTTTCACGAGTATTCGTGACTGTGCCAGCTGTAGCAGCGCCTTTTGTAGCTTCTGATGATATTCTCTGGTCATTGGATCCGATTCTTGTTCTTCTTCTATTTGTTCGTCTAGTTGATGTTGTGGTTGTGGTTGTCCCGGACCTCGTAGTCGCCTTATTCCCGATGAAATAATGTCTTGATTGTCGTGCTTTCCCTCCATGCCGGTACTGGTACAGCCGGGACCTTGGCAGAGACCACGAATGGTGTAAGTAATTTCCACCTCGATCTGTATGACCTCAGGGTTATTGTTGTTTCGGGGAAGTTCGTTAAGGAGGAGGAAGCCCTGGGATTCCGCATGGACGGAAGTTATTTGTACCAGCACTGACTCGGCTGTTGTCTCTACCTCTTGTTGTGGTGGTGGTCGGTTAAAAGTGTCCAATAGGAGGGATTCCATTTGGGCAATATCTTGTGCTGGAATCCACTTCTCTATCGTTTTCGCATTGAATGGAATCCCTTGCTTGTATTCTTCCACGGCAAGGTCCATTCGGTGTGTGAATATCAACTGAGTTTGAAACGTTCTTGTGCCACTACGTGTACTTCCGGAAGTACCGGCGGCATCGGGAGTGGAGGTTGCCAACGCCACAAGGAACAGGAAATCTACTGTTATCCACATCATCAAGGTTGACAGCATGATTGTCTTCAGTCAGTTAATGAGTTACTTGCTAGTATAGCTTAAAGCTAGAAGAAGCAAAGCAATTGCAAAGGTGATTATAATATAGTACCTTCTTTTTAATTTTTTGGTGTGGGATCGAGAGACGCGGTGCACTGGCTATCGGAGGCAGAAAACGGAGATCCAGCTAGCTAGAGTAACCAAAGGACCAGCTTTCCCAGAAACTGCAACGTCACTTGCAATGCAATCGTTTGGAAGAGAATCTGATGTGGTGCTCTGGCGCCCAACAGAAGTTGCTTCTGCAACCTACTGCCGCGATCGCATAAGGATCCCAGTTTCCCACAAGTTGGCCCGTCATTGTTGTAAGAGCCAATCCGAAGGTCAATCATTGGTCTTCTCGTCAAAAGAAGCGCCTCAGTTCCCCTTTCTTTTTTTGTTTCTTGACGAAGGGAGAACGGAGAACCTGGCTACCGGTACTCGAGGCAACTGCAGCTAGCTACATGTACTGTAGTACCGTCTTAATAGCCACCCCGAGCGGGAAGCTTTACATCGGCGCCTCGGCGAGGAGGCTTCGATAGTGCTTTTGGCCATTGTTAAACAAACGAGTTGCATTGCCTTCCATGCCACCGAAGCACAAGACTTAGTTACATAATATCGATAGTACTCTATAAGAGTCTCTAATAATAAGACTCTACGAATAGCTCTACGAATGATACAATCCTTCGCTCCCGAAGCACCAACTTGAAGCATCTGTCGCGAAGCCTGCAAGCTGTAGCTGTCCCGAAAGATTCGATTCGATTCTTCTTCAAGAGGATGCCAAGTGTTAAGCATGCACCGTGGAAAATCCTGTCCATGGTCCGTGGTGTCACCAAAGTCTCGGACTATTCCAACGGTACGGTACGGTACGGTACGGTACGGTACGGTACGGTACGGTACGGTAAGGCGTTCGACCCATACGACTGTAGCTAGCGACCACGAGATGGACTGTGGAAACTTCTCTTTTCTCCCCCTTCTTCACGCACATGCACCCAGCACCATTATGAAGCAGGGAGAGTACGAAACGAAGTACCATGGCATTGGCACGGTCTTTTAAAACAAGAAAGATCTTGGCTGACAGATAACGTATACATGTATGAATAGCACAACAACGTTCGTAACACTCTCCTGAATTGTTGCTTTGACTGTCCCACCAACTCCAATGACGATATCATTTCTCAGGCAGCTTTGTGCATGATAGATCCACATCAGTTTTCGAAGATTAGTTTCGTCTTTCATTCTTGCTGTATACCCGGAACCGGTACCGGTACCGGTACCGGTACAACGAGCAATGGAGAATTACAGCTAGAGAATATCAACGACAGATGAATGATGAATCGAATCGAATCCAATAAGTCAGCGGGAGCTGCGATACCTCGGCAGAAAGACAGATAGAAGAAGGATGACATGTTTGAGATTGCACTCTTCTTTCAAGCTAGCCCTGGCGACAACACCCGACTTCATAGTGTGTTGCCGCCCGGTATCATTCTCTCATTGTAATCTTCTTTTTATTTAAGCTAGCCCTGGCGACAACACCCGACTTCGTCGTGTGTTGCCAACCACTAACTATAACTTTACAGCTGTCGTTCCCTTATGTAACTGTAACCTTTGTAGCTTCTGCTGGCTTATTGTGTTGAGTGCACAAACCTTGAATAATTATGATTTTATTCCTACCCCTAACTTGTTAAACCTTCAATTTCCAGTTTTGTTGGCTTACGCCTATCTCTATCCCTATATTTTGGCTTCGCCGGAATAGGAAATAGCATTAAAGGGGTTGAGAACTCAGGCAGTTAACCTGCCGAGGTTAGATCCACTACCACTGCTGTATCCAGTGGTGTATTGTCGTCTTTCGATTACTCGACAGGCGATTTTTGCTCCGCCTGGCAATATAGCTAGATCCAAAAGAGCCTCCTCCATAGGGATCGATCGATCGAAAGAAAACTTTCCCGAGCTGTGCGACAATACCATTGTGTATTGATTAATCTAACGATAAAGTTTGTATTTCCAAATAAGTGAGCAGTTATTGATTATTTTCTAGAATAAGCCTGCAATTTGTGAAGCTGAATTGTAAGCTGTATCCCGTCGCACTCCCTTACAGCTGAAATGAAGCTGTAGCAAGAAACGATAGGAGAGAGTCCCCAGCAACGTGCTGAGGTAGATTACCATCCCATGAGGAGCTTCCAAATGACTGCAAACTGTGGAGCGGGCAGACCCTTAGTGAAGATGTCGGCCCGTTGTTCCAAATTCGGAATGTACTTGGCCACGATGCCTTTCGACTCCCCGATGTTCGACCTAAAGAAGTGGTACTTCAATGCCAAATACTTGTTGCGTGCTGACATCTTGGGAACATTCACAAGAGACAGGCAACCTTGGTTGTCTTCGAACACTGTAGAGCGCACGAGACTGTCAATAATTACGGGCATACGCAATTTGGTACCAATTTCCTTGAGCAGGGCTCGCATAGGAAGCAGCTCCCTCATGGACATGCTGAAGGCAACATATTCAGCAGCAGTGGAGCTCAGAGTAATGTCAGTCTGCAGTTTGCTGGACCAAATGACAGGGCATCCAAACAAAGTCAAGACAAAACCAGTGCGAGACTTGACCGACACAGGATCCTGATCATCCTCATATCCATACAACCCTGCAAAGTCAGCGTCCACCCAACAGTCAAGCCCTTGATCAAGCTTAGGGCTGAAACAAATGCCTTGTCACTTGTGCCAATTAAATATCGAACGATACGTTTGATGGCTTGAGCGTGTGAGTGCTTGGGGTTGTGGCTGAATCTTGCCACCTGATGTACACTAAAAGTGATGTCTGGGCGAGTGTTGGATGCAATGTAGAGCAGCATCCCAACTGCAGCTGGATAGCTCCACTCTTCGTCAAATGGGGCACCAAGTTTGTCAGCGCCAAGAGGATCGGTGGCAGCAGGGGATGGCTTAGAGCTAGCTTCAGACATTCCAGTGTATCCAATAACCTTGTTGATAAGCCCCTTTTGAGTCAATTCCACGTTGTCTCCCTGTCTTTCAAAGTTGATACCAAGGAACCCAAAGATGTCTCCCTTTTCTTCCATGGTGAGATCATATCCAAGCTTCTGGAGCTGCCCAACATAGGATTCAATAAGATCATTGTCTGGACTGAGCCAGATTTGATCGTCACAATAATTCAGTACCATGAGCTGATGTTCCTTATGAATAAATAAACAAGGGTCTGCTGCTGAGGTTTCGAAACCAAGTTGGACCATCCCACGACATAGATGCTCATAGAATAATTTGGGTGAATCAGTCTGCCCATAAATGGACTTGTCAAGTTTCAAAACACAGTCCTGTCCTTCATAATCTTTGGGTCGATAGTACTGAGGCAATTCCATGTCCAATGGCTGGTCGGCAGGCTGAGGACTCTGACAGAAAGCAAGAGTAAAATCAACTTGTGTCGATTCCCATCCATGTGCAGCTGCAAGAAGAAGACCGGCTCTAACAGTGGGCCAACCAACGAGTGGAGAGTATGCGGTGCCTTCGTAGGACTGAAGGTCACCTCTGCAGCACCATCTAGATTTGAACTTGTTCAATTGGCCATCTGGTAACCTCTTGATTCGTTGTACCCATGTTCCAGGAACTGCCTTGAGGTGTGGGGGCATTGAAGAACGTTGTACGATGTGCCAAGTCCCTTTTGTTAGTTGCTCTAAGCTCTCTTCTAGTTGTTACTGTTGCTATTGAGATACTACTGAAAAAGTGGGTTCCTTGGCTTATTCTACTGGCATCAAATTCTAGTACAGAGGTACAGGTTGAATCCCTAATCGCGAATCCCCAACACACTCCTGTGGTCGTCGAGCTTGTCCTAGTCGTCGACCATGCTTACTTACTTACTCCGCTTAGCGCTCCTTCTTTGAACGGACCTTCTTGTCCGACCGTGACCCTCCTTCTGAGTGCCCTGGCTCTCAGTGTTCCACAACACCCATCAACTTGTCCACATTCTGTTTGAACAGTCGACCTTGGTTCGGCTTCGTCCAGAAGTCCGCAACCATATCATCAGTTGGACACCAGTCCACACTGATCTCCTTCTTTGCGACTCTGTCGCTCACAAAGAAGTACCTAATGTTGATGTGCTTCGTTTGTTTACTACTAGAAGCTTTGCCGTTCTTCTCTAGAAGGATGGCACTCTTGTTGTCCTGATAGACTATAGTTTCTTTAACTACATAGCCTTGCTCCCGATCCCAGAAGAACTGCCCTCGTCCAAAGAATCGATGCATCAGGTCATCAACTGCAACGAGTTCACTCTCAGTTCAGCTTCTTGTGTTCAACTTCTTTTTCGTCGAAGTCGATAATGGGAAACCGGTGCCCATGGTCAAACCACCCCCGGTATGACCCCTCATTTTTGATGGACTGCGAAAGAACACATCAACATACACATTTCAATATGACACTTCCGTCGGCTTTGATGAACAATGGTAGTTTTCTAAGTACAGTCTAATGTACGCATAAGGTGGACTAGTTTATCCCAATCTTGCCTATCTGGTTCCTTGACTCTAGTCGTGAGGAAACGATATCGCCGTACTTGTGTCTGGTCGGGCTCTTTCGTTGCGAATAACACCTTAGCTCACCAGGCTGTGAAAGGTGTCTGCCTTGCTCGTTGGGAGCTTTGTGCAGGATTCGTCTACTATGAATAGGTCTTTCGGGGCTGCACTACTTCTAGTTTTCGTTCCCCCTTCCTCTGCGATGCCTTCTCGAAGGCTTCCAGGATTTCACAACGTACTTGTACATTGATACGTTGCATTGACCCTTCGTCATGAAGTCTATGGTCATGCCAAGATACGGGTGGACCTTTCCGTCGGCTCCCGTCATCTCTCCAGTGCGTCTCGAATATGCTTTCGTATTCATCACGAAGCACTTGGATCAGCTGGTCGTAACCTTCGAGTCCTTGTGGCTGAGCTTACAGTCGTCTACATGCCAGCAGACTGTTTGTTGCTTGCCGTCACTATTCTGTTGGCT